CAGGGCCAGCTGAAAGATGGATGCCACAGGTGTCATCACTGGAGGAGATTGGAGTTGGGGTTTTATTTGTTTTTTAGCTATTTCTGGGCTTAGTAGTATGCTATTATTATTCTGTTTAGAAGAATTCACAGAGTTTAGCCACATTCAAATATAATGGTACTACTATTGGTTACATGCTAAATGTGTTAAATATATTATTTTACTTAATAGCTAAGCAGTGGTTATTACTTTTACTATTTTTATGAATTGGAATTTTGAAATACAGTAAGGTTTACTAATGTATCCAAAGGCCACATAGCATGTAAAAAAGTAGAGCCAGTAATTGATATCAAATCTCTGACTTGACAACGCATTCTGAAACCACTATGTGATTACCAATAGCACCCAGAACCAAAAGAAAATGACCGAAACCATTGTACTATATTGTCCCCATTACTTGTTTTAACTCCATTATACAATGACTATTTTACAAAATGAACAGGAAATACTTCAGTGATTCTGAAATGCTCCCTGCCTCCCTTTTACATTTTAACATCTCTTAAAGTGGGGCTAATATAATAATCAATGAAATTTTATAATTACTAACCACCAGTTAGCAGTTGTGACATAGTTATCAATCCTTTAACCAATTTATTTTGTTTATATTTGCCTTTATATGTATACAACAGAATGAGATATTAAAGAAAGCCAATGTGAAAATCAGATTAAAAGAGTTTTTTCTCTAAATGTAAAATAAAAAATTTAAATGATGGGAAAGAAACTTGTTACACTCTAATTGTCAATGCAGTATTTTTCTTTATTACTGAGATACAAAAGAGTGTATTTAGCAATAGCTTAGATTTAATAAAGTAAAGTATGTGTTATGTCTATACAATGACCCCATAGCATGTTAGTACGAAGGAAAAAAACACTGGTACTACCTTTCTCATGGTGCCTGCTAAATTTTAAACTTCTTGACAATTGTATTATCTTCATACCTCTTTATCAACCAGTGCAGTGTCATGCAAGTGATGGATGCTGAATAAACCTCTGTTGCATTGAATGTATAATGAGACTGATTTGCTTATGTTTCCCCCAAGGGAAATTCAGAACGGGAGTCTCAGAAACATTTCCAGCAGTGCCCACAGCACTGTAATCATTGTAGAATCTTTTATGATGATGTAACCCCTGTGAAATATCAGGCTGATTTTGATGTATTCATCGTAAAGAATGGTGGCCTCCTAGAAAGAGCAACATTTAGAAAGTCAGGTGATTTTAATTTTAATCTTGGCACAGCTTTCCTATGACATCATAGGCAAATCACTCAACCACATCTTGGCTCATATATGAGAATAATAATAGTTCGCAAAGTCATTCTGACTGTAAGTGAAAATACAAATGAAGAATCATTTAAAAGTTCTGTAAAATGCTCACAAATACAGGGCGAAGCAAAAGTAGAGTTACAGTTGTGTACACAGGAAATATGGGCTTTATTTGTTATTATTATTTATCAATTATTGTATTTTCCATAAGGAAAATACAAAACCTACTTTTACCTAACTGTAAACCTATTTTTGCCTAACTGTAAACCTACTTTATCTTTTACAGTTTACTTAACTGTAAACCTACTTTTGCCTCACCCTGAATACACACGTTATTGTAAATAAAATTGTCTCAACTGAGGGAGCTCAAAGTTTCCCACAGAGGGAATCGGAGCCAGGAGCCCAGCTTGTCCTGCGATTATACTAACAGAGCCCAGACTGTCCCGCTCATTTCCTTCTTTACACGGTTCTTGGAAGAGTAAGTATTCAGGTCCTGTTTGTTTAATGAGGGACCAAATGTACACAGAGGAAGGACCTATGACTAAACTAGAGTTAGGGGAATATTAAACATTTTACTCTCATAAAATCGCATAGTCCTTTGAAAGGGAATGCGGAAGAAGGGTTACAAGCAACATTATTAGGATTATATGCTACTTAAAAATTTTGCCCTTTTGTTTTTAATGTGATATATTTCAAATTTTTGGACATAATAGATAACATTTTGTAAAACAAGACATTATTTCCTAGAAACTCCAGATGTGACCAGTAGTGACAATATAGACAATAAGATTTGGAAATTGGGTTCTTATTAGTACTTTTTACAAATACAAATAACCACAGGTAGAATTTTCATGTTTAAGAAATTTACATGTTTAAGAAATTTTCATGTTTAAGAAACAGTAGATTTCCTCACCAACCCAGAAAAATGTAATTTTCTACTGAAATATGCCTTGAACACTTGAATCACACTTTTTAAACCATGTCCATAAGCCTTTCTCTCTTAAGGATGGGAGTACAAGTAACAAAGATAAAGTATTGATATACCTTTTTTTTAAAGGAAAACAGAACTGAATTAAGAATATTTGCTGCCGCTTGGTGGCACTCTTTACTCATTTTATTAAAGCAGCTTTGATGATGAGAAAAAACGTGTTTGTAATAAAGGAAACTGACATCCAGAGGGAATTTTAATGGTTTAATTTTAGACACACCATTCAGGTGTTTTGGTATTCTGATAGTCTGAACCTGTTAGTTTCCAGAGCTTGCGAGTGTACTGGTAGGTCTAAGAACCATCGCTCAGGTTATGAAATGCATCAGGTTTACATATAATGATGTTTTTATTCTGCAAAATTTGTTATATTAGACTTGTATTTTTGGTTTTCTTTTGTCTTCATTCCAGAGGACATGGTTTTAAAAGCCTGACCAATATATGGATAGTAAATACACATAATGAATGATTTTCTGAAAGAAGAGTCTCCTTTTAAGAAGACCTTGGATTATTATGATTTAGCCAAGCAATGGATGACTACCATTGCTAATGGAGGCCAGGTTACTGGACAGGTGAACCTCATTTGCAAATAAGATTTAGAGAAAAGCAACAAGCCGTAGCTGCAGTGAGCCAGTTTATTCATTAAAGAGTTTTTTAGGGATGCAAATGCAGGTAAACGTATACAGAATTCTGAATGGAATGGGGTCATTAAGTCACTGCAGTCAGAAGGCAGACCATTAGTAATGGCATCCTGGACAACTGTCACTCTTCTGCATCATCAGCCACCATTTCAGAGATTTAATTTGCTATCAACCAATTTAAATAGAACATTAGAAAACAAATTATATTAGAATATTGTCACTGAGATGCATAGAAATAGAAATTTCTGATTATGTCTTTTTCTTGCTATGTGTGGCATTTGGGGTAGGGGTGGAAAACATTAAATACCCATGCCTATCTTCATTACAAACACAGTGTCTGGGCAGCAGTCCCAGCCTCCAGCATGAAGAACCTCCCAGAGCACAGCACATTAGTGAGTACAGTTCAGCTTCAGCAGCTGTGGCATCAATCACTTTCAGAATAGTTTTATGAAGCCCCACCCAAGCCACTGAATTATGAATATCTGTCCAATGCACACTTAGCATGCCATTGCATTTGAAATCCATACAGACAAGCTCATTGACACTGAGATACCGTTTTAATAGATGGAGTTCATTGAAAAGTAGCCACATTTTTAGGACTTTTTTTCCTCTCCAGGTATAACAGAATAAATGTGCTTCCAAATACCCACATGATGGCTTGAAATGCACATTTCCAGGCCCTATGAAAGGAATGGGAGTTAGTGTGGACTATCAGTATTTTTTTAACTATCAGTATTTTTAACAGATTTCTGAGTAATTCTATGCTTACTAAAGTCTGAAAAATACTGTTTGGTGAGCGACAATTAGTGACTATTTAAACATCACACGTAGTTTCTGTTCTCTACATTATGTGTTTGTCACATTCATTTTAACAGTGAAAGGGTTCAGTGCTCTTTGCAAGCAGGAATTGGGATTTAGAAATTTAGAGTATATCAAATATCACAGAACCATAAAGGCTTAGAAATTAAGCTACAGAGGGTATTATGTTTGATATTTTGTCTGTCAGAAATATACTGTTTTCATGAACATCACTTGCCCCTACGTGAATATCCAAGGATAACGTTCAGGGATGATACTTTGCAAGAGGAACCAAGACTTGTCAATCATCTACTGTGCAACAAATTCTTTTTTAAACTATATTTTATTGATTATGCTATTACAGATATCCCGATTTTTCCCCTTTTCCCCCTCCACCCAGCACTCTCTACTCCCACAGACAATCCTCACACCATTGTTCATGTCCATGAGTCATGAGAATAAGTCCTTTGGCTAATCCATTTCCTATACTGTACCTACAGACCTATGATAGTCTGTAATCACTAATTTGTGCTTCTTAATTCCACAATCTCTCCACCATTCCCCCATACCTCCTCTTCCCTGACAACCATCACATAACCCTCCATATCCATGATTCTATCTCTGTTCTTGTTAGCTTACTTTGTTTTTTAGATTCAATTTGTTAATAGATATGTATTTGTTGCCATTTTATTTTTCATAGTTTAGATCTTTTTCTTAAATAAGTCCCTTTAATATTTCATATAATAATAGTTTGGTGATGATGAACTCCTTTAGTTTTTTCTTGTCTGGGAAGCTCTTTATCTGCCCTTTAATTCTCAATAATAGATTTACTGGATAGAGCAGTCTTGGATGTAGGTCCTTGCTTTTTGTGTCTTTTAATATTTCTTGCCTGTCCCTTCTAGCCTGCAAAGTTTCTTTTGAGAAATCGACTGATAGTCTTATATAGGTACTCCATTGTAGGTAACTGAGTAAATTTCTCTCTCTCTCTTTTTTAAAAAATATTTATTTATTTTGAGAGAGAGGGGAAGGGAAGGAGAAAAAGAGGGAGAGAAACGTCAGTGTGTGGTTGCCTTTCATGTACCCCCCACTGGGGGCCTGGCCTGCAACCTAGGCCTGTGCCCTGACTGCGAATCTAACTGGTGACCCTTTAGTTTGCAGGCTGGCACTCAATCCACTGAGCCACACCAGCCAGGATGTAACTGCCTTTCTCTTGCTGGTTTTAAGATTCTCTCTTTATCTTTAACCTTTGGGATTTTAATTATGATGTATCTCTTTTTTAAACTATAGAACACCATGAATTTGCATGTTATTCTTGTTCAGGGGCCATGCAAATACTCTCTGTATAGTTCCAATTTTAGTGTATGTGCTGTCGAAGCAAGCACTGACTCTGACATATCTTGGGGTGGCTTCTTTGTGCCCACCTTGTTTGAGACTCTGTGCTTCCTGGGCTTGTACGTCTATTTCCTTCACCAAATAAGGGAAGTTTTCTTTCATTATTTTTTCAAATAGATTTCCCATTTCTTGCTCTTTCTCTTCTCCTTTTGGCATCCCTATGATATGAGAATGTTGGACATCTTGAAGTTGTCCCAGAGGCTCCTTACACTATGTTTTTTTTTAAATTAATTTTTTTCTTCTTGTTCTGATTGGCTGTTTTATGTTTCCTTATATTCTAAATCATTGATTTGATTCTCAGCTTCCTCCACTCTACTGTTGTTTCCTTGTAAATGGTTCTTTATTTCAATGAGTATATCCTTCATTTCTGACTGGATTTTTTAAAATGCTGTCGAGACACTCACTAAGTTCCTTGAGCAAATTTATAACCAGTGTTTCGAACTCTACATCTGATAGATTGCTTATCTCCATTTTGTTTAGTTCTTTTTAGAGAGTTCTGGTCTGTTTTTTCATTTGGGCCATGTTTCTCTGTCTTCTTATTTTGGCAGATTCCCTGTGTCTGTTTCTAGGTAGAGCTGCTATGACTCTGTCTTGGTAGCATGGCCTAATGTAGTAGGTGTCTTGTATGGTCCAAGGCACAGCCTCCCCTGAAACCCAAGCTGGGTACTTGAATTGCACACTTTGTGTGGGCTGAGTACACACTTCTCTTGTAATTGAGACTTGATTGCTGTTGGCAGGTCAATGGGAGATATTTACCCAGGCCAGTCAGCTGCAAGGACTGGCTGTGACCACTGACCACCAACCTCTGCCCTCCATGGGGGATCAGCTGTGTAGGTGCAAAGTGGTGATGATCTGACATGGTCTGTAGCTGTCCACTGGGTGCCGAGGCTCTGGGGTTTCCCAGGTGGTGCAGGCCCAGGTTAGCCTCCACCTGTGTTCTGCTTGGGACTACTCGCTCTGGGCTGTAAAGCAATCTGCAGATGGCTGCTACTGTGCTGGGCTTGGCCATTCCCAGGCAAAGCTAAGCTGTGAACCTGCACTGAATGGGGGCTGGGATCTTACAGAGGCTGGATGTTGCTTGCTTGAGAGGATTTAGAAAATTATGAAGCATAAGCCAAGACCAAATATTCATACGGAAAAGTCGCTGTTAACAGCTTGGGTGGGCCGGTAAGTTGGGTGTTTCACACAATGGATCCTCAGGGGATCTCCAGGCAAACAGTGTTAGCCAGGTTGATGGAGTTTCAGATATGGCACTCACCTGCTGGCTCTGTGGCTTTCTTTGGGGAGGGTTCAGAAACAGAGCAATCGCCTCTCCCTGCCTTTCTGTCTGGGAGAAAGCTGTCCCCCAGCTCTTGCCTTGGTGCCAGACACTTCAGTTCCTCCCCGTGTGCCACTGGTGCCTTTCAAGCTGCTGCCCCAGTGCTGGAGCTCAGAGGGAGTGAGTCTGAGTAAGTGTCTGTGTGGGTTCTTTAAGAAAAACTACTTGGGACTCTAGAAGTTTCCTCTATGACTCAATTCCCACTGGTTTTTGTAACCAGAAGTTATGGGGGCTTACCCTCCTGACACTGGAACTCTGGGCTTGGATGCCTGGTGAGAGGGTAGGATTCCTTGTTCCTGAGATATGCCTCTTGAATTTTTACTGACCACACATATATGTAAGATCAGCCCATTCTGTGCCTCTGTTTCTCCTACCAGCATGATACATGTGGTTTCTTTAATTCTGTAATTGTCAGACTTCCATTCAGCTTGATTTCTGTTGGTTCTGAGTAAAGGTTCTATGGCTTAGTTGTAATTTTCATGTGGTTGTGACAGGAGGTGAGCTGTGTTTTCCTATGCTTCCATTTTGACTGGAAGTCTCCAGATTCTTTATAATATTTCAGTTAATTCAAAGTTGTCCTCTTTAATATCCTACTCATCTATTGCACAAAACGATGTGACTATATCATTATTCAAGCATAGCAAAGGTAGTGGTGGGGTGTTTTGCTCACTGTTAATCAGGTTTGCTCAGGGACACTTGAATTATTATTGGCAAGGTGCACTTGAAGACTATTAAGAATCTCTGCATCACCTTTTAATATGTCTTTTTCTATTTTAAAAATCTTATATTGTATGGGATATTTTTAGATGCTTTCACAGGCTGTGCTCTTATCTTTCATTCTGTGAGCTCACAACAATAAAACGTGGCCTTGAGCCAAAAAGCTCAATCAAGTACTTCACCTTTAGAATTTCCACCATTATATTTCTTCTGCTAGTTTAAAAAGTTTATGTAACTGAATAGGCATGCTTTGTCTGCTAAGATCATCAAAAGGGACACTTAATTGTGAATTAAAGAATCTGATTTTAAAATATTATTTTCTAATCCTGTATTTCTGGAAGGACATTCTATAGCAGTATGAAACTTAACAAGAATAATGATCACTTCAACTTCTGAGTTACCATGAGGGTGCATGAAAATGCTCCCAGAAGGGCAGCCAGGAAAACGTGCATATCATACTTACAAGCTTCATTTTTATTCCCACCAGAAATTACTTCCATGAGGACCATTGTATGATGTGAATGGATGAGAGCATTTCTAGGTTCATCAACATTCTATCCTGCACCAACAACTTATTGATATGAAACCATGCATCTAATAATTGAGCCTGTTTGCTTCTATCATTTTTCTTTAAGGCTGCATACTGATGGTAGTTGGAAAAGCTTCTGCATTTCAACTCTTGCTTGGTAATGAGTATCTAAATGTGAGCAAGACCTCTCAAAAATATAGCCACCTTTGAGGCAATAATAAATAGCAAATATCCTCTATTAATTGTTGAATTTTAGAATGGTAATGGGCTATAGAGAACATGTTGCTCAAATCCCCTATTTTACAAAAAAGAAAACAAGTTTAAAGAAACCAATTTTATTTTCCCTGTATAATCAAATTTACAGCTTAGCATAATAAAATGCTAATATGAACTGCACAGGAATGAATAACACTTGATTATTCAAGCTTACACTTCATGGCTGAAAAGTCTCAAGCTGCTTTTCATTTTGTTTTATTGTCTTTTGACTTCTTTCTGTAATCATTTACATTTAATCCACATTTCTCTAAATGAGATATCAATAAAAATCCTAGTTTTCTCCAGTTGTTTTCATATTAGAAAAGATTTTTTTCTGGGAAATATATAGTTATTCTGACAATCATAAAGGGAATCATATAATAATATCCACCATATTCACAATAATATTCTCACAGGTTTTCTTTTCTTCTATTCTGCTCTTCCTTATCTTGGATTGAGAGAATTTGACTTTAAAGAGTTGATTGCTTATGAAGTTTATCTGCTGATGGTTCTCTGACTGTGCTCTCAGTGCTTCTGACAGTCCCTGAAAGAAATGGTGAGAAGTGAAATCAGAGGGATGAGCTCATTATAGAGAATCCATCTTGATTTCCTGGTGAGACTGTATGGGACTCAGCCCTACAAAAGGCTAAACTGGGTGGATTACAATGGATGAGGACAGACATGGTGTGTGATGGGGAAATCACAAGTTAGAATTCCTTCTATTTTAGCCTATGGTGTGTGGCATACAGCGTACATGCTATGATTCTTGTTTCTCTCCTCTGCCTGCCCACAGGTCACTAACACACCTCGCCATTTTCTTCTTTGCATCTTTTGCATCTGTCTCTCTTCAATAAGATATTCTATTCTGAATGAATATTAGAGACCATCCTATTCAATTATATATTTGTTACAAGAATAATTTCTACAGCATTGTTCAGAGATGATCTTCCAATTTGTACTTGAATATTTCTAGTAGCAAGTAACTTGTCACTTTTCTAGGGGTTTTATTTTTTTATTATTATTTTTTTCATGGCTCTTGAATGTTCCTTATTTAGTAGATTTATTTTTATCAAATGAATTAAAACTATCACTGTATTTTGCTAATACAAAGGATTAGGTAACATCACAGTTTCCCAGAAAGGAGAATGGATACTTAATTGTAAAATTGAGAATGTGTCTCTTTGTTTCTTTAGAGCTGTCTGCATTTGTCTCATGCATTTTGAAACTCTGTTATTAGGAGCATACATATTTAGCATTATTATGTATTAACCCATTACCATTATAGAATTTCTCACTTTATTTCATGTGATATTATTTTCTTTGAAGTCATTTTGTCTGATGTTTATATGGCCATGACAGTGTTCTTAATTTTACATTGAGTAATACATCACTTTCTATCCTTTTATTTTCAACCAACTTGAGTATTTATTTTTAAGTGCATCACTTTGTCAGCAAATAGTTGGGTATTCCTCGGGACTTCTTTTCCTGTCTAATAATAGCATAAACTGTTGCAGTTGTCATTGTTAGACAAATTTCTCTAGGGATTTTATTATTGGACAATTCTTTTTTTAAATATGTTTTATTGATTATGCCATGACAGTTGTCCCATTTCCCCCCTTCATTCCCCTCCACCCTGTATACATCCTCCCCCCATTCCCCCCTTTAGTTCATGTCCATGTGTCACAAGTTCTTTAGATTCTATATTTCCCATACTATTCTTGCCCTCCCCCCATCTATTTTCTACGTACCATCTCTGCTACTTATTCACTGTACCTTCTCCTCCCTTCTCCTCTTCCCACTCCTCTGTTGCTAACCCCCCACATGATCTCCATTTCTGTGGTTCTGTTACTGTTCTAGTTGTTTGCTTAGTTTGCTTTTGTTTTAGGTGTGGTTGTTAATAACTGTGAGTTTGCTGTTCTTTCACTGTTCATATTTTTTATCTTCTTTTTCTTAGATAAGTTCCTTTAACATTTCATATAATAAGGGCTTGGTGATGATTTACTTCTTGAACTTGACCTTATCTGAGAAGCACTTTATCTGCCCTTCCATTCTAAATGAAAGCTTTGCTGGATAGATCAGTCTTGGATGTAGGTCTTTGGATTTCATGACTTGGCATACTTCTTTCCAGCTCCTTATTGCCTGTAAGGTCTCTTTTGAGAAGTCAGCTGACA